GCTCAAAGATTAACAAGGGATATCTCACATCCATCTCCAGAAGGTTGAACATGCTTGACTCTGCAATTTCTTTAGATTCATCAAATTTCTCCAGAGCTTGGCGAAGTTCTTCATCTGGCAGCTTGCCCTGTCTTTTCTTTTTGTAATCAAAATCCAGGCGTCGACCTTCCATTTTCTTTAGGTGGTGCTAAAAAACAAAAATACAAATGCAAGCACAGAATAAAGGATGTTCCCCAACTCTCCTTATACTGCATTGTAATCAGGTAGTCCATGTACATTTGCTCTTTGTTGTATATCAACCCTTCCCCAGAGGGGGGAAATACAGAACAATGAAGTAGATGTTTTTATGTGTCTTTTAAGAAGCCACAGTGTGCTGCTGTCTAAATGACAGACCTTCAACAGGAAAAAAATGCCACACAGAATGGATAATGCAATTGCCACCAGTCTAAAAGATACGTGAGTTTCTAGCTTCTTAACTCTGATGCAGAATTACCTGAACACTATGTTTTTTCCCTATATGTTTAAGGGAAAAATCTACTAAAAGCACAAGTTGGTACATTTTTGCCTGTGTAACGGTTCTCATAAACAAAGCAACACAGAAAATATTTTTATCATTTCCACCACACCACCAAAGGATTTTAGTGCTATCTTTTATTAAAGATTTTCTAGTTTGTTAACTGACGTAACATTCATGTCCTTCTGTTTAGCAGCTGCCACATCAGACTGGACAAAAGTCAATGCTTCCAGCATGAGCAGGAATACTTTAAGTGTGTACTTTCCCTCAGAAGAACCATTTTGTCATCTATTATGACATTTAAAACTTTGTCAACTTTGTAAATTATATCAAACTGTCCAAGACAGCTTTCTTCCACATACATTTAACAATATGAAAGCAGCTTTACTGAGCTCAGAACAGTTACTTACACAGACAACCATTTGCTGAATTGGGAAGCATTTTTACTTCCACCATTATAAAATCAGGTTGTGTCCACAGAAGCATGTGTGCAGAGAGATTTTTCTCTGTAAATGCTGGCTGGTTCTAATTACATAATTGATGCAAGCAAACATTTTCTGTGTTCAAAATTCTCAGAATGTTTTGTACACAGTCTTCGTACAGACAAAAGAGTAGTACCAGTCTAGAAGCAGGCAACTATCAAAATGCCCTAACATGCCTTACACTAGAAACCTGAATGTCAACAAATGTTCATCTATTTAGTGAAATTAGCTTTCAAATGGTAGAATTTGAGCACTGTGTTCATGCCTGCATAAGCTTGATGACGCTACTGTCAAAAAATGTTAGAATTTTGATTTTTTCCCTTTTTAAACCATCAACAAGAGAGAGAGAACTGAAAAGTAAAACTCAAGACAAAAGAAACTAAAATGAGATCATCTGCAAATCTGAAAGCCCATTTTAAACTACGTAACTAACATAAATTTTGAACACAGACAAAGTCTGCACATTTGGCATTAATGAAATGCCACACTGAGGGAAATACCTGTATTTCTCTCAGATCTTTGTCATGGAGGTTCTGAAGTGGGTCAATGAAGTTTTGTTTCACTTCCATGTCTAAAGAGTCCTTGACCTCAGAAAGCTCCTTCATAGCTTCTCCCACATCTGCAAGTGCTGGTCCTGAAATAAAAGATGTCCAGTTTATCTCAAAACAACCTAATTCACAACCACTGTAGAATGAAACTGAGTCATGGAAATTTCAGTTGACATTTCACAGAATCACAGAATTGGAGAATTGCCTAGATTGAAAAAGACCTTCAAGATCATTGAGTCCAGTCATTAAATCATTTTGTTTTCAGTCTTCAGTTTAGGAAAGAAACAGAGTTACGATGCACTGTGTGAAAGGGTAACATGGATTTTACACATCTGCAGTCCCCAGAGTTTATGCCTTGTAACACAGCTGAACTTGAGGATCCACGTTGCATCAAGACAGCCTCCTCCAAACCCCTTGTTGACAATTCATTCCTCACTCTAGTGAAATAAATGTGCTAGAAAAAGAATTATCTGTATTTGCTCTCATGTTGCCATCACCAGACACTAGACTGCACACAAAAATAGCTCTAATGCAAGTCTAGGTCTCTCTGTATCAGTGAGACTGGTGACAATATCAAATGTAAAAATTCTTAACGATTTCACAGAATTTTTTTTTAATGAAAGATTTTTTTGAAGAAACTACGGACTTCATACACGTACTCAAATTCATAAACTTCAAAGGAATTAGCTGCCTTCTGAGATTAAAAAAAATACACTTTCAAAGAATAAAAGGGTCTGAAAACCTAAAAATGTGAGAAATCAGAAGGAGCTTTGCCTCCCAAACAGGGGATGACAGCAGTGCACTGCAAAACTAGAGAGCCTGCCAGACCTGGATGAAGAGTGACTAACAGCCATAATAGCTGCTATTAGTTAAGAATGTGAAAATAATTGCCATAGCTATTCTGTTGCATGCTACTGCGATCATCAGGGAATATACAGCAATTTGCACAAACTAAATTATATTAGTTCTTAATTTTCCCTTTAAAAATGTGTTTGAAATTTAGCAAACGAGAGTCAACCAATTAAAAAACCAATTCAGTAGTCTTTAGCAGAAATCAATCTACATCTGCCAAGCCAATTAGTAAATTATACAAAACAAACAAGAAAGTACCTTTTCCATTCCAGATGTCTTTATGCCAGGAACAACATTTTAAGAAGATTCAAATAGGAAACAGAATTTTCACAATACTATTTAAGGGTCCTGTGTGTTGCCATATAAAAATTGCCACAGAAAATCCCACACAAATAGGACAGAATGACAAAGTGTCCTGTTGTGAGTGTGATCTCTTTTAGTTAGACTTCTGCTGTTGAAGAACACAACTTTAAAACTCAGTTCAACATTTTTAACTGAGGCAGCTATAAACTCCTTTGGGGCTTGGAGGAGAAAACAGCTGAGAGATAAGACTGGAGTATTCACTAGTGCCTTAAAATGTAGAATTTGGCCAGAAAAAAGGGTCAAATTCTCTATTAGCCTTTATTTCTTGCCTGTAATGAAGACAATTACATTTATTATAAGGATTCTGAGGACAAAAGGGTTTTATTGTACACATGCATAGACAATAATATGATTCCTGACTACATACATCTTTCATCCCAACATATCCCCAAAAACATGACCTATGATAGACAGCCTAAAGCCTATATAGACATGAGTACAAATGGAAACAATTTGACTTTCATCCACAAGAAAAAAATCTACAAAAGACACTCAACGGGCCTAGATCAACTTTAAAGGAGAAGTCTGATGAAGCAGAACTGTAATGCTTCTTGAAGAAATTCCTCCTTTATAAGAGCACAACACTTTAATAATGGAAGTTGTATTACATTTTACTACTGTTTTTATTGCATTATAAAAGAAAGAAAAGTCATTAAGTTACCAAAGTTGCATTCTTCTCCAAGTTCTCGCCCAAATTTCAGCATGGCATCTGCCAGCAAGGCTTCAGCCTGAGGGTAACCTGGTCCCTTTTCCTGGCCTCGTATTTTTGACATAGTGTTGATCATGCTGAGTTTAGCTCTGGAAGCTGAAGCAGGCAAGTGACAAAAGTTACAAATGTGCAATAGACTACTCTTTAAATTTATCTGAACTACCTATAATGTATTTGAAGGACATTATCTAAGTTTAGGACTAAGCCCTGTTTTCCATCAATTATTTTTAGAGCAAAGGAATGAAATGTTGTTGGTCACTGACATTTTTCTTCTGCTGGTGGCCAGCGAGGAGGCTCTGTCCTGAACTTTAAGTCAAAGCTTCACTTGAAATGACTTGAACAGAAGAAACCCCAGGAACAATCCCAAGCTAGCATGTTTGACAAGTGTTACAACTCAGATAGAAAAACCTTTAAGCTATCCTCAAATTCTTAATCTTAAAATCCACAAATACAAGACAGATAGCAGATTGAGACACCCTTCTTCTCAAGAAGTCCATACTAAGTGCACTCAAGATTAAACTGTGGTGTCCCACATTTTTTAAATGTTTGAAAGTTTTTCTGTTGTAGAACATTAAATAAAACCTATGTCCTCAAACATAACATCCATAACTGTACTTTTAGCTTGTTGTAATTTAGTTATTTCAGATATGCAACTGCAGATCAGAAGAAAGCATACAATTATCATAATTGATGGAAACAAAGATAGCAAACATAAAAACTAATTTGATTATGTGCTTTAGTGAATATTTGCAACTATGGAATGTGACTGGCCTGCAGAGAGTGAATTAATTAATGGCACTTGACTTCAAATTTTTACCAGCTAAATCCTATTGCCAGTAAAACTGACTCAGTGGGTGTTTCTACCTACATTCTTGTGTGTGCTACAGACGGGCAGGTATGAATGCCTCTACCTTCCTCCTTGCAAAGGATTGACTTTGTTAGTGGCTGTTATGAGTTAGTATTTTTGTTTACAAAACATTAGTAGCTCACACTCTTAGGTGTTAATTTCATTGGTCAAAACTCAACCCTGTACACATTTCGGCAACAAGGCATTAGCAGACTGGAGTCAACAAGTGTCTTACTCTTAATTTATTGTTGAAAGTGCACATCAAGAGATGGTTCTTGTTGAATATGCTTTACTTTATGGCATACAAACGTATGCACAGACATAGACATATAAACAACTAGGAAGATCAGGCAAGTGTCATAGGTGTACTTATTCTGCCTGAGAAGCAGCTATGAAAGGATAACATATTTTTATGGATAACATATAGTAATTATGTTTTTGTAAGCTTTCTCACTACTCTTGAGTGCCACCAGATCATGCTTTTCAGTATCTGAATTTCTTGATGCGTTCTGTTTCTACCCACTACAAAACTAGAGTCAGCAGACTGTCTGACTGTTCAGTATAAGAAACTGCATTTTAATGAAGTGTCTGGCCTTTATAAATGGCAGCGAAGTGATGGTGGCAATGGGAAAATACAGAAGCACAAATGAAACTAAGGCATAAACAAAATCAGTCAGGGGAATGGAGGCAGTAAGATTAATTAAAACAGGAACAAAAAGAGAGTACTTTCAGAAATAAAAAAAAGGTAAGAAGGAATATAAAAAAATGAAGTGGCTATATTCTAGACAGGAAGGTAAGAGTAGAAAGCAAAAGGTAGAGGAAAGAATGAAAGTGATGAAAAGATAATAAGGGAAGGACAAAGAATAAATCATAAAGAGAAGAAAGGTAAGCATGAAAAATTCATGCTTCGATGATTCATCTAGTAATTTAATAATGATTACATTAGAATCCTCATTTAGTAGGAAACATTAAAATACGTCCACCAATGGTCTCATTCCACTTTTCTTCTTTTAAGGTTGATTCCAGTAACTTCCATGGGAGCAGAGGTAAGTTTGTGCTCAGTCAATCTCAAAATCCAATCCTGAGCCTTTTCATTTGTACTGCTCTATTGTGCTAGCACCACATGGTTTCTTCTCTAAGTTATGTTTCACCCTGAGTGAGGACAGCCAGAGATGTACAAAACACCACATGGAAGTGACTTGAATGCTTGATTCTTTTCCCAGTTGCATTCCCTCTCCTTTATATTGACTTTCATGGTGTTACTAATGATTCATCCTAATATTAAGTGTTAACAGAGCCATGATAAATCATAAAGAAGACTGTCAAAAGACTTTGAAAGACATTTCAGCAGTGGGTTCAATTGCTCATTCACTGTACTTTCAACCTTGTTCATCTTGCACCTCTTTGTCTTGAAATTATGGTCATGTGCATGTGCATGGAAAGTCTTTGAGCCTTTGCCATGTTCAATTTTAGTTATTTTCAGCTGTCCTTCCGGGTTTTTTTCATAACTGGGAAGTCTACAAAGCTATCTTTTTCATTTGCACTAAACTCAGCCCAACATCTCTTTCAATCTTTGTCTTTAATAATATCCTTTTCCCTTCCTTTCTCTTT